GTTTAGATTAGCAATCCAATAAGCTTTTTTTATTTCTTTATCTGCTTTAGTTTTGAATCCTGTTTTGATGCCGATGACAGTAACATCGTTAATGGAATGATTGGGTTGATTAAAGTGTTGAGCAACAGGGAAATGTTTTTCGGTGTTAATAGGAGATTTATGGTTGTTGAAACGTTCTCTAAGAGTTGTTTTTGTATGTCCTACATATTGGTAATTGCATTTTTTACACTGTAAAAGGAAAATGGTTTTTTGTTTCACAAGTGATTTCTTTAGATATTTTAAAGTTTCCTTGATTGTGCTTGTCAGAAAATGAGTTGGTGTTTTTTATGAACTTGCAGGTTTGACAACGGGCTTTATTACATGGACGACAAACATTTTTGGGTGGGATTTAATTCACTTTTATGTGAACAAGGATATCTTTTAGAGTTCTGTTTTTATGGAAGGAGACAATGGGAAGTTCAGGAGATATCTGTTTAAGACAATCGTTCAGTTGTAAGAGATGAAATTTTTTTTCAGAATTCGTGTAATGTTTCTGAATTTAAACTGATAGGTATTAATAAGAGTTCAAAATTAAAAATAGCTAGTGCAGGTAGCCCCAGTGGAGTTTTATACAAACTTAAAAAACAACCTGAAATTGAAAGTTATACAACAATTGGTTCCCTTTAGAAAAAATCATTTTCGGTGTAGTAAAATGTATTGTATTAGTGACCCAAATTATTACTTTTGTGCTGCTGCTCCAACCAGACAGATTTACTTTGTTTTCTCCATTATTTGAGTTATTGTATTTCATGATGAAGGCTTTCATCACCATAATTCCTTGTTTCATTTTACTCAGACGTGAATGTAATTATGACTAAGTTGATATATCATGTTACTCAAACAGAAAAGTTGATATATCGACTGGTTGAAATCTGAAATGAAAAAGAAATGGTAAGATACTAGTGCATTGTTTATTCAGCTTTTCTGACTTTTTCATTGCAAAATAATGAATACTGGTTGTTAAACTTTGAAAATGTAAATTCATTGTTGATTGTGCAAATGACACTTGTGGAAGTTTTGCATGTATTTCACATTATTTTAATCTTTTTTTTTTTTTTCAGGAAACGTAGCCACAGAAGACGTCATTGAAAGTTTGTTGTACTTGTTGTTTTCTTTTATATGTAATTACACTTTTTGTTATAATATTCATAAAGAATAAAATATCACTGATACTTTTCAAGTACTTGCTAATATGTATTGAAACCCTATTTTTAACATACGTACATACAGAGATTAAATGTTTGAAATTGTGAAGTTGAATGAACATTTCTTGTGCATTTTAAAATAGCTTCCCCATATTATAATAACCTGGCAATTTATTTTCTTATAACTATGTTAATATTCACTCTTCTATCATACTTTCATTAATTCAATATCTGTAACAAAAGGTAAAGTTACTTCTTTACAGAAAATGTTTCACGTTATTAATATATGTTTGAACATCATAAACTTTGACATTACACTTCTTGGCTTGATTTTGGAAGATTAAGTTCATCCAAGTAATTTTCAATTTTTTTTCTTAAATGATGAGAATGCTCAATAAAAGTATCACACTGAACTATTAAGTATCAGTTCATACACTAACTGTACTAAGTGAAAATGTTGTGCATTAAAAATGTCCACTGCAGATTTCTCTATGTCATTTTATTTGTTCTACAATATGTCTACCAATTACAATTGTTAACTGATGTATGTCATCTGGTTGCAATCCTACATCCACATGCCACAGTCCGTAGTTGACAATATGCAGATTTACAAGTATTTCCATAATAACTTGATGTGTAATCTCAAATTTCTAAAGATACTCTGTTTTTAATTAATGCAGTTACTTTATTAAGTTCCTTGAATGATATAAATAAATAGAAGTACAATATATTGTTACATAATTTGGTTCAAAAAAATGTGTTAAAAATAGATGTTTCAACTTTTTAGTACATACTTCCAGTTACTAGTTATATGGTGAACTAACTGGGAGTAACAAATACATAATTTTCTGCAATTTTAGTTAACGTCAGAGTATTGTACCTATAGTTGTTTCGTAAGAATTAAACATCCATAACAACATATATTATTATTTTCATATACATTTGGTTAGTTATTTTAAACTTTTCAAAATTATAAGGGTATTAGGATGTAGACACTTTTGATCTTGTAATCAGTTTTGTTAGAATATGGGGCATATTTGTTTCATTGTTCGTTAAATAGTAGGTTACAAAATTACAGGATTACATACACTTTAAGTTAGTCAAAAAAAACTATTGCAATAACACTAGATCTCAAACAGTGCTATAAAAGTGAAGGTTCTGCAAAGAATGATTTCATAATATGCTCATTTTTAACATGCCAGAATACATATGCATTATTTAACTTATACTTTTGATCCTTGATTATTACAGCAATAACAAACTGAATGTATATGATTGGATGATTATGTAGAATGCACTTTGAAAGTGTGATATTTCTTTAATTAGAATAATAGTATTTATAGGCATTCACTTCATAATAGTTTGTACTACTGAAGCATTTCTTATAAGGACTTGGAACAGGCATTAACTCTTCTAGAGCCGGGACTCTCAATTATGGTATGTGTAATGCTGATGGTCCGTGGAACTAATGTCAGTGGTACAAGATGAAATCAATGTAAAAAATTATAAAATTTGTAATAAGCCCAATTTTAGCTTACTACATATACGCACTACCCTCCTCACATCTAGACTCACTTTCCAGTGTTTTTTCTTCCCTTCAAATTGATAAAACTCTCACTATATATTCAGTGTGCCAGATAAAACATTCACATCTCCATTAATAGGTAAGTGTTAAAAATACAAATTTTTGCTAGTACGTACTTTTTTTTTTTTGAAAGTATGAGAACCACTGGTCTAGAGGCTTGTTGACACTGACACAAGAACTGATTATTATTGGAAGTGTGTACATTAAAAATTTTAATTATATTGCTTGTACACTGTATTAACCTAAAAATAAAATTCAGTTGCAAAACAAGTTGGCCATAGTTTATTTATAAAGTGTACATGTGGATTTATACATGGCAGTGGTAACTATTAACACCAGGTCTAATAATATTTCTTAAAACTTCAAGTATGATAACCCTTATATTAATCAAAAGTTTAAATACAATTATTCCACGGGCTGTAATAGAGTAATATTATTTAACTTTCAAAATAAATATATCGGGAATTTAGCACACAGAACAGATGCATTTTAATAAATATGAATACTGTTAAATAGGTTTTAAAAGTTGAAAATTGGGGACTTGTAATACAGAGGCTTATTTAATAGTGTCATGTCACTGGTTAAAGTCTGCTGATAATAATAAAAAAAATACCACCACCACTATGACTAGAATATTATGGGGAAAAGTTTGCCGACAATAGGGAAGTATTTACATCTTACGTTTTTGCGATATTAAAAAAAAAATTGATTTTCTATCGCAGGTGCATGCTTTCAACAAACTATGACAATCTAGTGTTTAAACACAATTTATTATAAGCATCTATTGAAGCCCAAAATGTATGGCTGTAGCTAAAAATAGAACTTGTAGTAATATGTATGTATAATTGAGCTGTGCCTGTAATGATACTATCAAACACAACTTTACAACACAGACAACTATTTCATTTGCGTAAGTTCATCATAACAGTAACAGTGCCAACACGAACATTGTGAAATATAGTTCACAAGCAAAAGTACCTATCCTTAGTGACGGTAAAAGTTTAAGTTAATCTATCAATTGAAATTATTTCATGGGCTTTAAAAAGGTTAATTGTGTTGCACTCTTGGTTTCGCTTGGAGCCAAAGCTCTGAGTTATTTATACCACCCACTGTGAAAAGTAATTGAGCATTTCAGTCATGCTAAGAGCCACTCAACAATAACATACAGTAAACCTATATTTTTATTCTTTAAGTTATGTTATATTTTGAAATGTGAATTATAGTGTGATTAATTCCTAAAAATTAAGTGTAGAATATCCTGTTCGCAAAATAAAATTTGACATCAACATTATTCATGCCTGTTTTCCTGTCATTTCAAAAGTGAATGTTAAGCTTTGCCTACTTGCCCAGCTTTTCAAACGAGAGAAAGATGAACGCTCAGACAGACACCGCAGTTCGCAGTATATATATATATATATATATAAGTATTTTAATTTTCTTAGTAATTAAACGTGGGAATATTAGTACACTGTATATTTTATACTTTTAAAAACATCAGTGAAAAGTAATATTGTTCTGAATTTTTCTACTCATTGTAAAATGTATTTACAAGAAATTTTACTCAGTGATAAATTTAGAAAGCAAAAGCTTAGGATTATTCTTCCAACACCAGAAGACAAATATTTAGCTGCCTACTAACATACTAAAAACATCTTTCAGTACAGTGCTATAGATATTCTAATTATAAAAAAGTTAAGAAAATTGAAACACTATTCAAATATGTTAAAAATGGAATATATCTAGATTTACATAAGTTACAAAATATAAACAATACTTGTATTTGTTTCCTAAAAATCACTATTATTTACTGAGAACATAATTTTCATTTGCATCTAATCAGTAACTTTTAAGGTATGGCCTTCTGGCCTGTAATACTATAAAACACAAAACAGTGATATCATAAAACACAACCTTACAATACAGACAACTACTATATTTGCACAAGTTCATCATAATACTATACACAAAAAGTACATGTATTAACTGTTACAGTGCCAAGATGAATATGGTGAAATATATTTCACAAATTAAACTGTGAATATTAATACACAGTATATTTTATACGTATTGTAAAAAAGTTCAGGTAATAATATTGTTCTGAATTTTTTTACTCATCATAAAACATTTACAAGAAATTTTTCTCCCTGAAAAATTTAGAAAATAAAATATTAGGATTATTCTTGCAAAATCAAAAGACAAGTATTTAGATGCTTACTACCTGCCAAAAACATCTTTTAAAACAAATAGTCAAACTATAAAAAAACTAAGAAAGTTAAAACACTATAAAGTATGATAAAAATTACAAAATATCTATAATACTCATGGTTTTTTGCTGAAACATCACTATCATTTACTGACAATACAAAATTCTGATTTGCATCTAATTAGCAACTTTTAAGTATGACTTTCTGGAAATTTTTACAAGGCTTAAACCTATCTACATCTGAAGTACTTGTGTTTGGAGAAATTCTCTATTTTTTTCTTTTCTTAAATAATGTAATAATTACATATTGCTTGAATACAACCCATCCTAATTCTAATAATCAATAAAGACAAAAAATATTTCATTGAATGTATTTCAAACTTACAAGTTACTGAATAGTAGTGTTATATTAAAATATACATCATAGAAAATATTATGCTGTCTTACAAAAACAATCTTTACAATTAAATTATTCATATATATAATTTTGTTAACTTAGTGCTGCACACGAAGTGTTACATTTTTAGATTGACACAAATGTTCATGCAATACAAAGAACATTATCTTGAAAGACTGAAACATATGGAGCTCTAAATGTCAAATACTTCACAAGAATGACAAATCTACCTATTTAATTCATTCTTTATATTAAAATCTGAATTGATTGACAAATCTATAGAAAACAAAAACATATCTCCAAAATGTATTCTCTGGAGCCACCCTTTTTGGCAAGCATGCTTACTTCCAGAATTATTGGTGTTTTTGATTGGTTGGCTTATATTCATTATCCAATCATATAAACTGTGACATTGAATATTTCAATACAGCCAGTGTACCAGGATTCATAAAACCATGAAATGCCATTAAATTTTAAAATTTGATTTCCAGGTATGGAAAAGTAACATTCTGTTCATAAAGTCCTTGAATTTTGAAATTCTTTCTCAATGCTGTGAAAGTTATAAACATTTTTGAGTAGAGTGCTCAGAATATTTTGGTAAACTGTGACCAAACTTTGACATATTTTTGTGCAGTAAATATACATTTCATGGATTTGGTAGAACTGTGATTGAACAGGAAATAGAAATCACAGAATTGCTGAGTTGAACAAGAACACTTTTTAGCAGGTAAGAAATGTATTTTTGTCAACTACTGTTTATTAATTGGATGGAGTATTAATGATTAAACAAAACTTTCACTCATATGCTATACTCTATTATAGCAAGGAAAGTTTCACATGTAATAAACTTGCCCTACAGTGACATTCACACAACTGAGTAATATTATCCAATTGTTTTCTTTTATCAAAAAAAGATTTATTAGTGCAGTGTATAATAAAATAATTCTCATATTTTCTAAATGTTTTAATTTTTTCCCTGATCTCTCTAGATTTTGAAGAAAAACATGATTTATTTTTTTTCTGTCAGGTATGTAGGTCTTGATAATTCCTGGAAAGTGTGTTTACGACTCTGGGAAAACCATGCAGAATATAAAAAGTAGATTGCTCCGTATGATGCTTATACATCCAAAGCATATTTCAAAATGTATCTAATATGGGAGAGAGTGATGTCATACTGGTAAAGTTAGGCTTAGTAAATTACTCAAGCAGCAGCAAGAACAATCAGTACTGATTTTTTCTTGAAAAATTAATAAAAAATCCTTTGAAAGCTAAGCTTCAGGAATAGATTCATAGCCATTTACTTCTACTGCTAATGTGAAATTTGCATCATAGACTCAACCTGATGACACGAGTCACTTAACATCATCATCATTTAAAAACATTGAAAATTCTTGATTCAGGAACAACCATGAAAAGCAGAGGTGCATTGGACATTAGAAACTGTGATGTCACATCAATCATTTTGTTCAAACAGAGATAAACCTTAATTGTTCAAAGTAATGTTTCCAGATAACGCTATTGCTCAGAATTATTCTATGAGGGCTGACAAGTGTAAGTACATTATAACTTATGATGTAGCTCCAAACAGAGAGAAAAATACATTACTAAAATTCGAAAAGCAGAGGCTTATGTTGCATTTGATGAGACTCTTAACTCTGCTATGCAGAAAAAGTAGATGGATGTCATCATAACATTTTGGGATAAAGATCAGAAGTTAATGCTGACAAGATATCCTGGATCTGATTGTTTGGAGAAAGCACTGAATGAAATCTGGATGAGAAATCAAATCTTCTGCACATATCAATCGATGGTCCTAGGTCATTCTACAGCAAACTGGTCAAAAGAAAAGATGAGCAGCTGAATGATTTGATTGACACTCAATATTGTAGTTTGCATATGAGGCATAGAACCCGACAAACAGGCAGCATATGTGGAACATTGGTTCCTTCTTAAGAGATATTTAAACATTATTTCCATGATTCCCCTGCACAAAGAGCAGCCTACACAAATATTACTGAAGGCTCTCTATTTCTTCTGAAATTTTGTAATATTAGATGGGTAGAGGACCTGAAAAGTAATAGAAAGAGATTTTAAGATACTGCTATATATTAGGAAGTATGAACGGGAGATCCTAAAGAAGCCATCTTTAGGTACCCAAGATTGTAACACTTGAAGTTATAAGTAATGGATATCTGGTGAAATTTCTTTATTTTAAACTGAAATTTTTTTGCTTTTAATGAACAGCAGTTCCTACTTAACTTGATCTAGTTCCAATTATCTGCACAATGGCACACTTTCTTTCTGGAGAGCTTAATTCCTTGCTACTTAGCCTACTGTCTGATTTATCAAACCAAAGGTTATATAGAAAAGTAATACATTAGCCAAACTTGTCAAGCTGGATATATTCAAGAAGGAAAATCACACAAGCATCAAAACTTATAAGACATTTGGTTGAAATCAAAGAGGACTCTACCTACTGCAATTCAGGTTAATACTGTGACTGTCGGTAGTTTTTACTTCATTTCTGAGCAAGTTGATGGAAAGTATACTCCATTACCCAATAATTAGACATGTTGTGTCATTAGATCCAGTATTTATGGCACCAAAATTTACAAGAGTCTATGGAAGTTTTCATTAACTCCAAAACACAAATGTGAGAATACAAGGCAATTTGACACAATTCCTTAACAGTACCATAGGGAGATGCTAGAGAATGTGCCAGTACTGTAAAGTTGTTCTGGTTCCACGTGTCAGCAAAGTTATGTTTGAGTTCCTATAGAGTAGACTTGAAGCCTTTCAAGGAAAGAGAAATGCCAGATGAACAAGCTGGATTCGGATGTGGTAGAAGAACACAAGAGAGTATAGAAAAGATGATTACTTATGTTTCACCAACTGCAGCAAGCATTTGATTGTGTGAACCATACAGGACTTTGTAACATACCAAAAAAATAGATGTACCAGAACATCTGATTCTTCTGCTGAAGAGTTTTTACAATGAGCAAGAGGTTACAGTGAAGACACAATGGTTCAACATTTGAAATGGAGTGAGGCAGGGATGCATTTTTACCCCCCATGCTTGTTTAACCTGTACAGTGAAAACATCATGTCAATGGCTAAACTGGAAGAGATTGAGGCTGGAATCAAAATAGGAGGTCAAAACAACAACAGGCTAAGATGATACCACCTTATTAGCTAAAATTTGAAGAAGATCTACAAATACTTCTTAAGAAAGTTCAAGAAAAAAGTGTGAGAGCTGGTCTGCTGTTGAACATAAAGAAGACAAAGATCATATCATCTGGAATGCTTGACAGATTTAAAGCAGGCAACGACCAAGAGGAAGTAGTGGAAAGCTTCATCTTTCTGGGGTGCCGAGTAGACAGATATGGGAATTGTGTTGAAGAAGTCAAAAGAAGGCTAATGTCAGGCTTGAGTAAGATAATGAAGGACAGAGAAATTCCTGAGGCAACTAAAGTAAGATTAGTAAGAATGTTGGTTTTTCCAACAGCAATGTATGGATGTGAAAGCTGGACTTTACGGAAGAGTGAGAAAAAGAAGATCGACTCATTTGAAATATGGTGTAGGAGAAGATTGCTCAAGATCCTATAACAGCAAGGAGAACCAATCAGTCCCGGATCAAATAAAGACTTCTTTTTCCATTATGGCCATGATGCTCAAGTGGAAACTGGAATATTTTGGACATGTGATGCAGGCAAACAATAGAATAAAGATAATGATCATGACTGGCAAAGTTGAGGGAATCAGAAGGAGAGCAAGAATTCAACCACGGTGGATAGATGGGGTCAGAGAATCTACCTGTATTTCTCTGCAGTAGCTTTGGGATGCAACTGATGAAAGGTAATTTTAGAGGGAGTTAGTCCATCGGGTCACCAGGAGTCGATGCCAACTTGCTGGTACCTAACTTAACAGACATCTAGTAAAAGCCATAAAAGAAGAGTCAGAATATGAATTTAGAAAGTACAATTTCACTACTACACTGCTTGAAAGTGTTGAAAGAAGATAAAGAACTTAGTAATGTTTTCCTTTTGTCTCATGAGCAGTCAGACACAAAAAGATGATTATCTGTGGACTTAGCTAAAGCAGTTGAAAATTTGAAAGATAATTTTATAGCATTGAAAATGGTTCATAATGTAGAACAAAATAAAGCTTCTTATATGAAAGATTACCATGTAATAAAAGAATTGTTAAAAAGTTGTAAAATAACTAGAATGAGGTACAGTGAATACCTTGAGAATAAAAAAAATGGTGGAGACTAAGAAAGAAAGAAAGAAAAAGTTTTTAATCAGAAATAGGTGAATTGAATGAGAAAAAAGTTAAGCTGATGAATACAATCAAGAAACTAAACAAGGATGCTACAAATTTAGCAGTCCAAGCTGAGAAAAAGCAAGACTTTGCTTTGATGGCTAAATCAAATAATTATAGACAAAAGACTGAGGAAAGTGACAGGGAAGTAAGAAAACTTAAGGAAAAATGCAGAAAGCCTGGAGAGAGAAGTGAATGCATAGAAACTTAAATTCTACTGTGTTTAGTTAAAGTAACTTGTATTATTTTTTCATATTTAACCTAAGAACTATATATCAGAAAGACTGTGTTATACTATGTAATGTTTGAGGAAATATATACAAATAAATGGAAGGATCGGGCAGCTAAAGTGGTGGTAATGGAGGCTGTGAAAGCGTTTGCTTCTTACTTTTTTGAAACATTTGAAAGTTTTGGTTATAAAATTCAATTTTAAATATGAGAAAAGTCCTAGAATTTAGTTTGTAATAATCTCTACTGAACCCTGTATACTTGGGCATTTCCATAACATGCTATCTGGAACCTGGCATGAATTTTAAAACCATTAAAAGTTGAAAATATCTTAAGATTGAAACTATGGTATTGTGTGTGGTTTGGTTATGTTTAACACTTCTATGAATATAAATCATATGGTCCCATGGAGTAAAATGAAGGGGTTGCATCTTTCATTTTTTTTGTTAGATGTATAAAAATGACACTTGGTGTCTTTATAACAGAACCATTAACTGTTTACAAAGAAGGAATATTTTATGTTATTATTATGTAACTTGCTCTGTAGACAAACTGACAGTCTAGAATAATTGTCTTGGCAAAAATCACTTGCTGCAACTTGTGTAGTAACACTTAATTGCATATAAAAACATCAAATATACTACTTCTTAGAATGTACATAATTAAACTTTCACAAAATATATGTGTAGGTATTAAAAACAATTAAGATATTTGTAATAAAAGATGATGACTATTTATTGAAAAATTAAAACAATTAAGTCCAACACTAAATTGGAATGATACCAAGATAGCTTACATTTTAATTGAAAGTTTGGGATGTAAAAGTTATAAACTGAAAATTCAGGTATTGTGTTATGGAAATATTTCTTTTACAGTAAAATGTGAAACTATGACTACTTACATTCTAGTTACTGACTAAACTTGCCAGATCTTTCAAGTGTAAACACAAATTCATTTTCGACACTTTTTGTATTTCCATATTATCAATGATTAAGCAAAGTTATGATCATCAATGTCCCCAAAATATTTCCGAAACTTATAGACAAATGGTAATCAAATTTACAGCCCCAACAATGAATGCTTTTGGGTTAACTTAAAACTAATTGGAAATTGCTGGTCAAAATTGAAGGGCAATCAGTAGTTTTTATTAGAATAAAATGATAATTAAATGTTCCAATTATGGTATTTAATGTTTAAGGATTTACTTAGTAACTTAAAAGTATAGATCTAATAAAATAATCTTTTATATCTGGCTTAGAAATGTTTACTTTTGAAAAATTGCCATGTAAGTATTTACAAATTCTAGTTTACTTCTCTAAATGTATACAACTTAGCAGTTGCACGGTCAGGTTATAATGAAATATACAAGTTCATGATTTATTATCACAACACACAGTGTACAAAAACAATAAGTCATATTAAGTACTTCAGAGTATTAACAGTGTTCAAATTAAATTTTCTGAAGTGTTTTTAATATATTGTATGTATATATGGACTGACTGCACATAATTACAGTTTCTACATATATATTTAAACGTAATATGTCACCATTTCATATGTGTGTGTATATATATATGTATATCTTCTATCATAATAATATTCAGTTTTTATCTGTCCTGAAAACGTTTGCACTTTATATCAATGGATTTATACAAAAGGCAGAGATAAATATTCTTTAGTAAACATTTTGTACATATTAAAAGCTTATCAAAGTTTTAGAAAGGTTAACATTATGTCATAGAGTAACATTATAAGTTTATTTATTGATAGCACTAATTATTGTAAAGTTTAGCCCAACTAAACTAAAACAAAAAAACATACACAAGTTAATGTGTTTATTTGCCTCTTTATCGAATAAAGACCATAAGGCTTAACTGATGTTAGGTCTAAGACAAGTGGACTTATAGATTTTGGTGTCTGCAATTAGAATTCCTTTGTATTATTCTAGAAACCCTGTTACAATAAAGATACCAAGTGGACCACAAATGTTTTGTGGGTCTCTGTGAGTATTGTGTAAAAATATATTTTTATTATAGATGTACATAAAAATATAAATGATATAACTTTAAAGTGAAAAATGTCTGCGTGGCCATAGCACCAAAAAGCAATGGGGATATTCTGTTTATCAAACAGAATGAAAACAACATATGCAAAACTAGAAAGCAAGCTACAAGTTGAATAAGAGGTTAGGATCCGGTTCTAAAACCCACGATGTCCCAAATCCCAGTAATATTCACTGTCTATAGCCCAACTTTCAACCTTTTTTTTTATAGATGTAATAATACATGATCTTGTAATTTTAGTGCTATAATAACATACAATTTTTTAAACTATATACCCACCTTTATAGTTCTGGTACCCTATCTTCTGTCTTTAAAATATCATTGATACTTTTGTATAAATGGTATAATTTTACATTGTTTTGTTACAGTTTTGCTGGAGTGATTATGTAATTGTTGGCACATACACTTATACTAAACAAAGGTTATACTTTTACATAATATATATACTATTGAGGCTTTTGACCCTGAGACAAAACATAGTGCCAATATTCAATCATTCAGTTTTGAAATTTTCACAAAACGAATAATAATACAAAGTGTATTATCAGACTCACTTTTATAATTGATTCATCAGCCTGTGATAAACTTTCATACAATTCCAACACATCTCAACTAGAATAACTTTAAACAATTTGTCTTGGAAAAAAAAAGCTTTAGCATGCATTTTATAAATCTACTACCACCTAATTATCACAATGTCAGATCAATCAATAGCTTTTATGAATGACGCGAGCACAACTGAACGAGTAACAGGTTTTTCAAGATGTTACATTTTTAACATCAACAGAACAATTTTTATATTTAAGAAATTTATTTTAACAGATATATATACAACAGTAAATGCATGGTGCCAATACCAAGTATATTACGCTTTAGCCAAACCTTCACTTACCTGTTTTAATATAATAATCAAATTTGTCACACACCATCACATCATAATATAAAAAAAAATTCCAGTACTAAAATTTCAATATTAATAATAACAACTGAATACGAGTCTACTGTAGACACATACTGGGTGATGGTGGTTTGTTTACTAAATTACTGACTGCATCATGCAGGGAAGCAACCTTGTCGTGAGGAGAGTTCAGTTTTCCTGCTAACTCATCTATTGCTGTATGCACTGCCTGAATTTTCAATGTGATATCATCGACAGGTGATGAGAGACAAGTAGAAGAAAAACTTGTATCTTCAGTGTAATAATTCTGTGCCAGTGGACTAATAATGGAACTAATAGGGCTTGTGCTGATGACTGGACTAGAACTTACAGAACCAAAAGAAATGGTGCCCACAGAATTTTGACCATATTGTATATGGTTATAAGAATGTGGTTTGTGGTTAGAGGAAAAGTCAGTTCCAAAACATGATGGAAAGTAACCAGATGAACTATGAAATAAGTCTGCCAGTCTAGATGAGTGAGGAGGACTGCTTCCTTCATGGTTCTCTTCTGTAGATAGAATTGCATCAGGAACTGGCCGAGTACTATTTTCTGCACTCTCTGTCTCATCTTCAATAATTGTGTCAGATTCTTGCAAAGGATCAGCTTCATCATCATTTTCTTCATCTTCACTACCAAAATTATTTAGCCTTTTAGGAGTGTTCTTTCTTCGTTTAGTAGTTCTAGGTGCTGGTTCATTTAGTGGTTGCTGTTTTTGAGAATGTGTGACTGGCTGATTTGATATTACGATATCTCTCAAATCACAATCTACCTTAGAAGTACCAGAATAAACCTTATTATCTGTTGATTCTCTTGGTGTCATTGCCTCAACACTTCCGTGTTTTTCTTTCATGTGTCTTTGTAAATTTCCTTTAAGTGTAAATGAATTTCCACAGATGGTACACTTATGTGGTTTATCATTTTTGTGAAGAGCCATGTGAGCACGAAGATTATGTGCTCTGGATAGACCTTTACCACAAACAGGACATTTGTAAGGCTTGATATCAGAGTGAGAAACCATGTGAGATCGTAATGTTTGGACCTGAGTAAACTTTTTGCCACACACTTCACAGGGAAAACGCCTTTCAGCATTGTGAATTAATACGTGCCTTTCCATGTTTGCTTTGAGTGAAAAGCTTCGGCCACATATGGGACAAAAGAAAGGTTTTGCATGACTATGGGTCAACTGGTGAGCCTTCAGATGATGCTCTTTTATGAATTTTGTGCCACACACTGTACATGAATAGCGACGAACCTGTGTGTGGACAACCATGTGGTCTTTCAATTGACTAGGGTACATAAATACACGTTGACAAACCTCACATGTAATCTGATGTACCTTTTCTTGCTGTTCTTCACTAGACTTCTTTGTAGTATCTAAACTCTGGTTCTGATATTCATTTTCTAAATATGTACCATCTTGTTTGTGCTTTTCTATGTGCACTTTTAACTCACTTGAAAGAACAAATCTACTTTTGCATAAGTAACACTTATGGAAATTCCCTCTTAGATGAACTAACATGTGTCTTTTCAGATGAGCTACCTGACAGAACCTCTTCTGGCATGTTGGGCATTCATGTGGCCTCCTGTCAGAATGTGTAAGTCGATGAACATTCAGATGGCTCTGTTGCTTAAATGGTTTACTGCAGACTTCACATATAAATCTTCTAATGCCTGCATGCCCTAGCATGTGAGTCACAAGATTGTGTTTCGCAGTATACAGCTTTGAACAAAGACTACATTTCCAACGTTTTTCACCATTTTCCAACACAATAACATACTGATCAACATTCAAGTCTTTTTCTAAATCATTGAAGTTATTATTCTGATAAAAGTTTCCAGCAGAATTTTCATTAGGTGATTGCTGGATATCTGATCTTGTAGTTTTATCTGATCCTAAATTTCCTAGTAAAGAGTGGTCATCACAGTGATTCAATTCTGGACAATCCATGGCCACTATATCAGCTCTGCCATCTCATCATCTGTTTATTGAATTCTTTATCTGTTTTACAGAAAAATCAAATAATTTTTAATAGAAATTTTGTTTTTCCTAAAGGTATCTTAAAAATCAAATTAAATGTATACCTAAATTGACACACACACACACACCTGCTAAAAAAATCACAAAGTAAAATTGGTATGTTTTTATGAAATATATGTACTTCAAGTAAAAATTTCATCTGCTGATTGTCTTTTTTTATGTTGTAAAACATATTTGTCACTTTTATTACAATAACTATGAAATACTAGAGTGAGTATAGATAGGCTATAACTTTTTATCACAGGTAAATATTTTTTGGTCCAGTTTAAAAATTTGAATTAGATTTTTTGTATATTGTCAGTATCTTATTGTTCTTTTTATGGTGAACAAACCTTTATACAGTAAAGTTTCAATGCCACAGCCATACAGTTTTACCTAAATGTGGGAAGAAACAAAATAAACTTTGGTGTAACTCAAAATATATTTACTGAATGCAAGCTTACTTGCATATGATCTCTTTATCAGGTTAAATACATTAAACGTAACAGTGCAGAAAATTTTTCTTACAATATAGTGTTATTTGCGACACAGTTAATTATTGGACATAATGTTCTTTATCAGTTACAGTATACTGCAGCTTTCAGAGTATATGTATACTAAAATAAATAGGTTTTAACAAATAATCTATAAACAACCTTGTACATTTTTTACAATATTTATATATCTTTTATCACTTAAACCCACCTCCTCCAACATGGACTTTGAGATGATATACTCTACCAGTGCTTCTCAACCTTTTCCAATATCATTCACCCCTATAAGTTTCCACAACAGCTCACTCACCAATTAGAAAAAAGACAAAAATTACTAAATTAAAATGCAACTTCTTTAATATGACTTAAATATACATCAAACTACAAATAGAATAAATAATAATAACTATCAATATATTTGAATAGTCTTGCTAATCATGCTCAAATGACAACTTCCTAAGGCTATATGATGAGTATGACTGTGTGTGTTTGTTTGTTTTTTGAATTTCGTGCAAAGCTACACGACGGCTATCTACACCAGCCGTCTCTAATTTAACAGAGAAAGACTAGAAGGAAGGTAGCTAGTCATCACCACCAACTGCCAACTCTTGGGCTACTCTTTTACCAAGGAATAGTGGGATTGATCATCACATGACTGAAAGAGCGAGCATGTTTGTTGTGACAGGGATTTGAACCCGCGACCCTATGATTGCGAGTCTCGCTCTCTAACCACCTGGCCATGCCGGGCTGTGACTGAGTGTGCAACAAATTCTTTATTATACACTACGAATAATCAAATCATTAATACCAGCATTCTTTAAAACAATGAGCATTTATTTATACTTTCACAAGTAAAAAAATATACTCACAGTTCAAAATTATCAGATGCAGACTTTTACAAACAACGCACACCTGACCTTAAAAAATTTGTTTCTACGATATAACCTTGATACAAAAAAAACCTAGGATAAATAACCACAAAGGAAAAATCTGCCTACTTAAACCAATAACATTTTGTTTCAAAATACAACACTTAAAAACCCTAATTAAGTTATAACTCAAAACTACTAACCTAGATTCAAGCGATATCTATTCTGTACATTCTCAGGCACCTGGCATCAGTCTTCTATTCTCTTTTTATATTGTACCTGATGATGAGATTACAATTAAACACAGGATGATTATTGGCTATTCATAAAACATGTTATCAAACTAATTGCACTGACACTTTAATATGAATATGACCACGTACAAATAAAGTTTAAGCCAGCATTATGCATAAACAAGCACAAGGGAAAGCTCAACTAAAAGGTACAGAATTTGAAAAAATAATTAATAAAATATTAAGGAATACTACATCCCAAGCATAATGAACAAGTCAACAATAAATTAAATTAAAATCAACTATGAATCAGTAAGATTAGCATAATTTAAAGTCACATTCACAATAGTTATCATCATATAGTTTAATTTTCATTCTCCATCTTTAAAAAAAACACAACTTTACAGATTAGCTGTGTTAGTAACTGTTACTGTGTGGTCTTATTAACCTTTATTTATGCTTTAAATAGAGTAAAGTAATACAATACTCACAAATACTAAACTGCTACAATATTACATATAATACTTATAGCATACTACACTATCTGTATGGCAAACACTTGAAATAGAACTTACTAGTATCTTAGGCCTATATCTCTTGTAAACTACAGTATTGTGCTCATTATTTGGTACAGATAGACATTTGTCACTGTGGAGGGTTGGCTAATTGTTAGTGTTTTTGTGTTCTGTATGTAAGGTATACTCTATTATTTAGTTATTGTTGTTTCCATTGGCAGTATTGGTTGGAATGCTTAATATATTTAGTTTTTTTATTTTTAATTATCATACTTTATTGTAAAGATTGTTTTGCATTGTTAGCTTAATACACGTACTTAGAACTAACCTAAATCTTCTAAGTTGGCCACACTTTGCAAGGTATTATAGGGGTTACAGCCAGAAATTGCATTACTGGCAAGGGTATCCAACTGATGAAACAATTCATTTTAAGCTTTGTAAATAAGAATGCAAGAAAATAATACTGAATTGGGTATACTTAGTACCAATACCAGGTTTAATGTTAGCTTCACTCTGAGTACCTAGCTTGCTATGATCAGAACTTTATACTGATAATATATAAACAACAAGAAATCATTTGGTCCTTCAAGGTTTGTTGTCTTACAAGCCCACTCTTAAAAAAAAAAAAAACTTAAACTTACCCTTTAATTTTCAGGAAATTATTGATTCCCATTTTTAAACAGTGATGGCCACCACTAATGTTGATAATGCATTGCATAAGTCAATCATCTTGTTAGAAAAATAAAACTGCCTTAACTGGAGCCTAACATGTTATTTCCTAATCTTAAAATGTGTCCTCTTGTCTTCAGAATATCACACAATTAAATCAAAGGTCGTTATCTTATTGACCCCCTCCCACATAATCTTGTAAACTTTGATAAGCTCACCTCCTACTCTTCCTTTCTCAAGAAAAAGTGATTTAAGAGATCTTAACCTGTCCCTATAAGTTACCTTCCGTACCAAGAATCATCCTAGTGGCCTTTCTCTGAAACTTCCCAATAAGTCAATATCTTTTTGTAAATACCAAGAGCAACACTGTGCACAATGTTCCAAGTAAGGCTTAACTAGTGATTTGTATAAAAAGATAATTACCTCTTTTGACTTGTAGGACCTAATCAGTATGTCTATAAATAACACCCTAATATTATATTAGCTGTGCTACTAGCAACAGAGCACTGCCTAGATGGCTTAGTGTCTTATCTATCACTATGCCAAGATCCTTTTCATCAGTCATGTTATTCAGTAGGTTCCCATCAATATTAACAAGTTGATTCAGATTACAATAACTCAAATGCATTATACATTAATAATTACAATTTGTCTGTTTAATCTGATTCACACCCTGACAGTTTTGTTCATTAAAACTGATATATATAGCAGCTAGACCACTTATTTGTCTAATGTGTCCCAGCCAACCTAATGAGCCCTAGCTCTAGGCAAAAGGCTTGTCAGCACTGTCATGTAGTAAATGTATTATAACATATTCTTCTTTGCTTCCATTCATGGGTTTTGAGAATTACTAATATAGCTTTTTCCTGATGATGAAGTGGTTGTTTGATCCACTTCCAGAACAAAAGGGCTTATGCTTGTTTGCCAGTTCTTGTGAATGATAATAAAGTTAACTTAAAAAATAAAAAATATAAATAAGTAATCCATGTTAAAATTAAATTAAAATAAAGTTATGTTACTAATTTGTACCATAAGAATTTGATTTGTAAATAACTTCAATCAAATTTATAATAATTATAATTCACTTGCTTAATCTGGTTCATATGCTAGCAGTGATTTATGAAAATTGATGATATATACCACACCTACAACCACTACTATGTACGCAGTATCCCAGCCAGCCTCAGGAGCCGTAGTATTCGGTGTAAGGCCTTGTTGGCACTGGATATGGTAGATATAGTGTGGTTACCAAAATATTAAACATATTCCCCTTAGTAAGCCAAATATGTTTTATCTTCCCTGTTATCCTATTATCTTCTCTGTTATCCTATTCCTTTTGTTAGGAACATCAGTATCTGGAATTGAAAGCAACTTTATAACATTATCTTGCTTTGATTATAACTTAAGTTTAGAAACATTCCTTTCTTGAATTAAAAGTAATTTATGTTATAAAATTTAGCAAATTTATGCCACATCACCTATTAATTCATTGTCCTGATTCATTAACATCTTGCCTCATGATCTCAGAACTGGCTTCTGAAAATTAGGAACTAAAATATAATTTATATTTACCTCAAAATTAGAAAAACACTAAACTAATTTTGCAAAGGTCACTCTCTTCAAAATGCCCCCTCCCATTTCAACTCTTGCAGTCACATCTGCATAAGTCAAAGGTCAAATTCCTCCCATGCTAAGATGGCGTGATTAACAATAAATGTAAAATTGCATTACCCCTCTGGCTGTCTCTCTTATCTATAGAAAACTATCCTGAATAACTTTAAAAAACCTCTCTCCCTCATTACTTGACTCCACAAAAACCCAGTCATTGTTTAAAATTAAAGTCTCCCTTAATTATTGGTAGCAACTCTGATATGATTATACTATTTTTCATTGACATAATTTGTCTGATCAGTGTAACAAATGACAATTAAAAACTTTCTACCCTTGAAACCCCTGACTGTAACTCGCATAGATTCATCTATTTGTTATGTCTTCATTCCCAGTAAAATGCAGTTCACCCCTTATATAAAGAGCCACCTCTCCCTCATTTAAATCGTTTATTCTGTCAGTATTCTCACAAGATTGTAAAAAACTTTTTAGTTTACTCTTGAGAATTGTATTACTTTTGACAGAGTGTAAAATTTCATACAAGTGTTCCTACAACTTATACTATAAAAAACAATGGTAAATCAGGTCCCATAGCTACAAGTTTTTTAACCAGTATTTCATGGATTATGGTTCCACAGCTTTATATATATATATATATAT